GCAAAATAATAAGGGCACAAAATCCCCCAACTAACCCAACAGTTCGCGGGAATTCATTTCTGAATAATGCCATATTTAAATTATTTGTTTATAATTTTAGACATTCTCTTCTAGGGGCATAGGTAGACTTGGTAGAGCCCGAAGAATCTTAAAGAAGGAACTACAAACTCCCAACAAAATTTCGTTCTGGGAACAAGGAAAGGGCGAGAAACAAAATTCCACTCCGTTCTGTTTTCAGACAAGGTCCTTTAAAGAAGAAAATCAATGAATGTTTGGAGATCAGCATGACTTCCCTACATTAAATAAACAATCAACCAAATTCCAAAATTGATTCGATTAAGCAGTTATTTGATTGAGTGCTTTTGCTATCTGAGTATATTTATTTAGACACAAGCTTTGGTATATACTCCACTAACTATTACACATTCTATTATCACATTCAATTTAGATAAACCTATATAATGCAAAATTGTTCCCATCAAAGATTTACAATGCAAGGAAATATTAACTAAAAAATTCAACAACTAAAAGCATTAGTCTTGATTGACGGTGTGTATTTGTCTGGTAGTATCATAAACAAATTTATAATAATGGCTCATTGAAGTTATATTTATATGTGGCCTTTTCGGTTTTTTTAAGCATAAAAACAAATACAACTGCATGTGACGGTTAGGGCGAAGTATGTATCTTTCCTGATAGGTTCTCTAACTTAATTAGAGCTCTGCATGATCCGCTTAATACCAATCCGCATCATTTTACTATTCGTAGTCATAGGTAGAATGATTGGAATTAAAAAGTACACACAGGGGAAAAGAACAAGGGGAGTACATTGGGTTAGCAACAGTTGGAAAACGGACGATTGAGGTTATATGTAGAGAAGTCGCATGTTCGAGTAAACCCAAGAAAACTACTCTTCACAATCGTGTGAGCCCTGGTACTGCATTCGAACCTTGTTAGGGTAAACTGCTTCTAGTATTACATGCCCGGATTCCAACCTAGCCAAAAAAAAAAGTTGAAAAAGAGGAATTGATGAGCACGTAACGAAGCTACATTTATTCCAGATGTAAAAAACTCATGAAGGGCACACTGGAACATCATTTTTTTTCACCTGAATCGACAGAAACTGGTCAAACAAAAACAAACTCAATTAAATTGTACAACAAATCAACAAGTCGTGCGTAAGCAGATGGTCATTCATCTGATCCTACTCCGATAGCTGACTTACACAATATCTTGGCTTTTACGGTCATATTTAGTCTTTAATCACACAGGTTACACATGATCATAGTTGGACGTACAACAATATTGTATCATTAGCAATAACAGAAAGTTTAGCGTTATGATGGAGTTAGTGCAGTCTTAATTGATAGAAAATATTGTAATGAGGTAAATGACAAAATCCACTACGCGGGCTGAAAACATGGAAACATCCAGTGAATCACGAAAAAAATAAGCATATAGTCTAGGTGACTAATTAGTGGCAGGTAATTTTGAAACTTGGCTGGCGTGCGAGCTGAGTATTGAATTTCTAATCACGTGGGTACCCAAATATTTTGACATTATTAGTGGATCAAGAATAATGAGGATCATCAAATAAAGCATAGTTGCTCTTTGTCCCATAGTAAGTTACGGTAGAACGACATTAGCCAATATTTAGAAAATTCGACCGCGTTTATCTTTTTGGATTTTTTTTTAATTTTTAATTAGACTAAATATAGTTCAGAACTCGAAACCAACACAGGCTCGATGTTAGCATAAGAAAAAGAGGATTTTAAATTCTTCCACATGTTGTTTGGCTAAACACATTTGTGAAACAACTGCTGGATTTGACAAATTACCACAATACTCCGTTTAACTTGGCTGCAATGAAAATTGTGAGTATGTACCCTTTTTCAGTTACCATTGTCCGTTTACTCAAAATCTATTTTTGGATAATGTAAAAAGATTCTGCATAAGTTACTAATGCACACAATACCTTGATAGATGTAGCTCTAATTCCAAATGGAATTATGTTGAACAAAATTTCTTTGTATGTTTTCCAGGTCTCTCACATTTGGAAATTTTCTTTTTTATTGCACGTGGTCATACGAATATATTAAGACATATGTTTTGGTAAACAGTTCCAAATACTGACAACACGCTTTACCATTGTTTGTGCGTTGTGTGGGTTAAAGGGGTACGCAAACCATTATTTCAAAGTCGCTAAAGGGATCGAAGTTCGTCGCATAGACCTAAGATTTCAATTACATTTTTTTCAGAGAGTTAATTATATACTTTTGTAAAGATAAGAATTCGACACTTGCTAATTGCTAAATCAATTAAAATATTACCAGAAAAATCCCTACCCACTTATCTGCCTAGTAATAGAGTTGCACCTACAAGGATGTATTTCTAAAAAGGATGGTTGACGGATACGTCTCTCACACTATTCATATTAACTATTTCTTGTACCTCGGAATGTTTAAAATCGCCGTAATCAAATTAATTGGATCTAAAAATTTTTACTTCTTTAACACAATAACCAATAATTCCAGAACAGCTATTCTTCGTTGCCTGAAACAGGAAGAAGAGCGAGGATTCACTTATGTTCACATAATAGGTGTGAGTACATGAGTTGATAGGACTATATATGAACAAACAGTATCTCTGTTATAATTCAAAATTTATATTACTTCAAACTGGTTATTATTAGGAAAATAGAAAACTCATTCAATAATTTATGAAAACCACCTCAGTGTCATTAATGAAAATAACATGGGGAAACATTTGGAATTTAAAAAACTAGATTAATGATTCGGTTAGATTGGGGGGTTGATTGAGTCCGTAAGTAAGTATTCTTTTAATACTTAATTCTAGAAATTTTATTGTTAAATTTTTTTCCCATAACCATTTTAATTCAAGCATTACAGCCCGTTTCATCAGCCCAACAAACACACGACCATATTTTGGGTCTTTTATCTTAACACCATTTTGGATGCTGTAGTATGGAAAAGCTATTCAGGCAAGATTGTTCTATTTTCCCAGTAAGTTGCTATCATACTTTTATGTAATCGACCATACATCAGGAAAAAAAAACTAGCAGAAAGACAAGGTACATGTAGGTGTCATTACAATGACAAATAATATATTTTCCATCGTTGAAAAATTTGACTGGGCGGACACCTTAAAAATTGTCACAGGTTATAATTTTTAAAAAATGATTTTAAGCCGCAATGAAAAAAATGTTTATTTTAAGGATTGCCCAAAACTGAAAACAATATATCAAAAAACATACCTACGTGGCCGCGGGAGAGGTTCAGTTGGGGAAATTAATTTATTAATTAGATCGGTCAGAAGCAAAGCTGGCGCAAAGTCAGTACTGTTACACCTCAATGCAAATGATTTATTCATATATTTGGCTACAATCTTAAATGACAAATGGGTAAGTTAATTGACCAAATGCATATCTAAAATTTATTTTTTTCTTTCGAGAATATTAAATAATAAATAACAAAACACCACAATTGTCTTCTGAACATTTCAAATACAGCAAGATATTCGATTTTGTAGTTTAATTCCCTAGGGAAGAATGTAAAACTTTATTAACTTTCATGGTAAAAATTAGGACTAAAAAACATATTTATATATTTTAATTCAGATGTTAAAGTATCGTCACCTACGTATACATGTAATACCACAGCTGTTACAACTACGAGGAAATAATATCAGTATACTATAAACTCACACAAAATAAAATCCATTGGTACTTGCTATGGTGCAGAAGCTTGACCAGCAATTTTAAAAACCAAAGGGAACATGCAGGGCTTCAATTTATTCACACTCAATGAACAATAAAGGAAAACTGAGGTAAAATGTAATCATGTATGGTTTCCGGGGCTTTACAAGGGTCCGATGAATTCGGAATTCAAAAACTACTCTCTGGATCAATAAAAATCATAAGAGAAAAAAATAAATACTCATATTATAAACAACTATGTACACAATCAGTAGGTTGAGGTTGTAAATTACAAAAGTCCTTCAACACAATAACCAGCATAAAAATGCTGTCTTGGTTCACCACATCTCGCACAAGTTCTCGTGTCGAGCTCTTAAATAATTGTTACAGCGCACTCTAAATCACACTCCTTGGACACAGGATTCCATATTGGTTTCGGCCACATTACAAATTCACAATCGCTCCTTGTCCTGCACAGTTTTTCTGTTGGCTCGGCAGCTGTGGCGGCTCAACTAGCATTGGAAGATGTGCCACGCATCTCAGGAGGCATACAAAATTGTAGGCAAGACTGGATCGTAACGTTCGGGCAGCTGTCTGTATAGACGTCGGCCCCAGATGTGGTGTGTGAGAGACAGGGAGGTCAACAGGGGGGTCGCGGGTACATTGGGCTGCTTTACCTTCGACACATACCAGAGATGGTAGCGCCGAATGTCCAAATCCTAAGCTCCTTTTTCAGCTGCCTTCTATGCTCGCAGACTAAAGTTAAAACAGAAAGCTGATTATCTACGCTTTGGGTCTCGAAGGTACAAGTAAGCTGTTTTAATAAATACTTGAAAGTTATTTGTGGAAACTGCTAAACGGGCATTGTTGTAATAATTGTCAGGGAGTTGGGCCGTTGTAGTGCTTGGAAATCATCGTACGTTAGGCAACAACATCTTTATGTTTTATTACTAGGGGGAGGGCGGTGTTCCAAAAGGTGAACACGACCTCTCGGAACATTTTCCCGGAAGAATTGACGAACCATTCTCTATTCTGCACCGCTTTGTCATATTCACCTCCATTTATGATTGGTCTTCTCTGCCTTCCCTCCCTATTTTCACCATTAAAAAGCACGAAGTCTGCAGGACTGTGGCGGTACACTATTTTGCGCAGACGCCCCGCCTCCACTCCCGCGGTTTAACCTTGCACTCAATCGGACGGTGTCCGCCCACGTTATACCATAGCCTCTGGCGCCGCCGGTCCCGCGACAGATAAACGAGTCAGGGCTTAGGTTGCAGTTCTCAATAACACAACGAATGTTCGATCTCGCCACATGGACTTTGGAATGGCATTCAGAAGGGGATGGCAACCGGACACATATCAGCAAACATGAATGAACATAATAGTGCAGTAACAGAGAGTTGCTGAGCATCTAGAAATAGAAGATGGAATGTAATGACTTCATAACGACCACAGGGCCTAGGAAATTTATTTTTAACTACTAGGCATACTAAGGTAAGGAAGTTACCTGTATCAAATATCATTTTAAACCCCCTGATGTACTATAATAGTAACTAACTCATTTTCAGCAAGGACAGGTTACCAAACAAATATTCTGCTTCATTGCTTATTACATGAATGAAACTTCAGTGCCAGGAACAGGTTGCTGATACATGATGCATTACAAGAATCTATAGGGGTATGGGAGTGCTTTCAGAACCAGCAACATCCTGACGCCAACTCAATGTGAACTAGTGCAGATATGTTTCCCTGGCTTCAGCCATTGCAAAACCACTGACACTTCATTTAAAAATTAAAAAAAAACAAAAAAAACAAAAAACTCCTCTTCCATGACTGACATAGCATTGAATATAGGAAATATGAACTAAATTCAAAACTGGACAATTGTACATAACGCCTACCAAGCACACAACAACTAATTCACGCCAGATGGTACTTTTTCGTGACAACCAATTGGTACCAGTGGAAGAAATGAAGGACTTACTCCTAAAGTAAAAAAGAACAGCGCATATGAGAATAATAAAATATGAATGAGATGAAGAATGAATGAATGAATGAATGACATGAATAGAATAAAATAAAATAAATGGTAAATAAAAGAAAGAAAAATTAAAAAATGTACCCTATTGATATTCAGAAATATGTACAGTACAAATTTCAATAACAACAATTTCTATTTTTATTAACAACCTCAAAAAAATCATTAAAATTTATTTATTTTTCGGATATTAATTCAGTTATATTATATATCATAATATATAATAATTATATATATATTTAATATTAATATATATATATATTATATATATATATATATATAACTGAATTTAATAATAAATAAAAAAATAATTATAAAGTATAAAATAAAAAAAATTATAAATAATAGAATTTAACTGTAATAGAAATAAATGTTTAATAATAATAATAACTGTCTTAGAAAGGTATGTAATAGGAACTTTTAGTGAGAGATGTAGTGAGAACAATATAGAAAAAAATAATTAAAATAAGAAAATAGGATAATATAAACTCAAGAAGTTTCAGGTACTTGCCTGTAGAATTTGGGTTCAGAAAACTTAAATTTGATGGTAAAACAAACATAAGGAACACAATCAACATAGCTGGGGTAGCATCTTGAATCTCTCTATTGAAGAAAAAAAATTATAAATAATAATGTCATTTCTTAAAATCCATAATTAATCCTCATTTTTCAAGTTTTTTGCAATTACTCACACATCAGATATAAATTCTGCCCAACCAGGAATAAATTCAGGTTCTCTAAAGAACCACATCAACACAAGGGCAATAAAAAGGACCAAGGTAGAAGCTTCATGAAAAGTCATTGGCCCAAGTTCATCATATTTTTTTCTGATAACTTGTCTGACTTGTTGAGCCTGTTCTTTTGTCATTACCATCTTCTTCTGTTTTCTGGAAATACAAAAGTTTGGGATTTTATATTTGTAAGAGATAATAAAATGGGAATATGAAGAATATTCAGTAAACCCTCATTTACATGAATTCCAAGGGACCTAAATAATAAGCATTTGTGTCATGAAAATTAATGATTGTGTTAAGGCAATATTTGTGATATGTGCGAATGAGGGTTTACTGTATTATAATCTCAAAAATACATTCTAAAGAGCTGAATCATCTTCAATTTAAGACTAAATTAGCAAATTGTATTCAATACTTTTGATATGAAAATAATATTTTGAACTTTTTATATGAAAATATTTAAGACCAAAACAGCCATTAAGAAGTCATTACATTCCAGTTTTTGTTTCTCAATTCATATTTTTTTATTTCTTTGAATAGTGGATATAAAAAAACACTTCCTAGTAGTATTCAGAAAGTTTGATTTAGGTTTTAAAAAGGTCAAGTTCAGAAAAATATTTTCAATTTCCTTATGTAATATTTTTAAAAAAATTAAAAACTGATTCCTTATTGGTAAAGAGAAAAAAAAATGATGTACATCCTTCAATTCTAAAGCTACCTCAATAATCTCTTAGTTCTCATGAATATTTGCTAGGACCAACTAGCTCATAAAGTTGTTTTTTGGAGTACTGAACTCTGTGAAAAACCCATAGGAAAGAAATGCGAATAAAAAAGTTATATTTTTACATTTTATAACTGCATTAATTACAAACCTGCATAGTCCCATGAATAGAAATTGTAACCACAGCCAAGCTGCTAAAATGTTGACAATGGTGAGAGGAATGCAAAATATCATCCAGCTTGCAAAGTTTATACCTTCACTGTCAGGAAAAACACTGAAACAATAAGAAAAGATTTATAATATATAATAATATATTATATAATATATAATAATAAATTATATAATATATAATAATAAATTATATAATATATAATAATAAATTATATAATATATAATATATAATATATAATATATAATAATATAATAAATATAATATAATAAATGAGTATGAAGGGGAAGAACAAAAGAGTTAATGAATTGAACTTTTCAAATTGTATTTTAAGGTCTTTCATAAATTACGTAACACTAAAGAGGTGGACGGGATTTCTGGCAGCTTTATGTTGCATTGCATAGGGTAAGTGGGCATTACTTAATTGTGAGGTATCATTGATTTTTTTTTCTTCAACATTTACTGAAATAATTCCTTTTTTTTTATTCTTATACACTAGACACTATTTAAAACACTAAAATGTTAATTAAATAATTTGTTTTAAAAACGTAAATTAAGTTATATATGTAACTTGTTTCAATAAACGGAAGCATTTTTTTTCCACAATTTTCATTGTATCTGTAAGTTTACAAAGAAAATATTCAAAACTAATATGTAATGTATTCTAGAATTCTTTTAAATTGGCACAGCAAGGTCTTGCCCAATGTGTTATGCCTATGGCATGCAATCACTGCGTGTGATAAAAGTTTTGCCCTCTATGCATCCATTTTTCACTCATAACTTGCTACCAATCTTATTGTTATATACTGTCAGCATCGCTACCTAAATTTGATTTTAATTACCATAAATGTTAATACATAAAACAAATTATATGAAACAATTTTTATTTCTGTGCTGCTGAATATTTTCACTTCTTGCATTTATAAGGGGGGGATTCAGGCACATGTTATGGGCGTGTTACAGGGTGGGAGGGGGATATTCAAAATATTCCAAATTTGCATGTAATTTATGGATAGCCCCCCTTATGTTAAGAAAAGAAAGAAAATGAATATCAAAAGCATTCGAAAGGAAATAAAAGACATGAGAAAAGATGTAGGAGTTAATTGTTATTCTCGGAATCTTGTATTTTCTCAGTAACTACAGAACATTAACATTACATTTTATCTAGTTACATAATAATTTCTAGATACATAATTGTTTCAGGGAGTTAGAGGAATAGATATTGACTTGACTATTTCAATTTTAGCAAACATTAAAATTTTTATAGACTTAAAAATTGAGAGCATTTGTAAACAAAACATTGAAAGGAGAATCTTTGAAGATAGAACTAAAATTATCATCTTCCAGTTATTTATCACAAATCTCAATGAACATATAGTTTTGTTGTAATGCTACAATCTGAAAATATAGACTGTAAAGTCGTTGCTTATAAGACTACACAGAACATAAAAGTGAAAGAATATTTTGCTTTCGTTTCATTTACTCTAGGATTAAATTCCTATTTCTTAGTGCTTAGACAATTGAAGATCCAATTTCTTTCAAATCCTACCAAATGTCTTTTTCATTTAATAAGTGTACAAATGAAACAACTTTCAAGATATTTTTAAAATGTTGAAACTGGATAAATATTATTTTAAGAAGTGCCATTACTTTGCAAACCTTTTATTATTTTTTAAAAATTATTTTTATTATTGTTATTGTTATTTTTTTCCTTCTCTTATTAATCACACACTAAGAAGCATGGTCTGCGACACAGAATTCCATACCTGTCGTAGATTCCTTTGAAAGTTAGGTTTGTTCCTGTACCGGTGAGAGTTCCTGCACCTCCCAAATTGGAGGCATAAGCGACTCCGAGGTAGTAGCAAATAGTTTCTTGATCAGGCCTCTGTTGAAGGTTCCTGCAAGGAAAATAATGAGTTATGTAAGGTGACTATGCAAGATGGAGGGCATTCATCAAAACCTATCCAAGGTGGCATTTAAATCCGGATAACAGTGGGTGTCACTGTAGGACAACAAATCCGGTTGCCGGCTCGAGAGGAAGTGAACAATGAAATCAAGTGAACAGTGAATAAGTTATCTGGGATAAGATATCACCTGTAAACTTTAATCTTCATTTTCTCAGGACTGGAAAAAAGTTTACTCTGCTCCCTTGGCCTCTTGGTTAATTAAAATGCCTCAGTTAAAATTTCATTTCTGCACTTTTGGTTGATGTTCTAATAGCAAACGTTGTAATGTGACGACAGGGGTGAATCCAGAGACGAATTTTGGAGGGGATTTTTTTTATTCAATATGTTTTAGTCGAATGTCTCATATTACCGATTTTTCAACAAAAACGCAGGCTAAACTCAGTTCATGTTGCGATAAAACTTTACTCGTTTTAATTTTTTATACGAAATTTTTTTTATTTTTAAAGTTTCGTGACAAAGTTAAAATTGATAGTAAAATTTTGGAATGGGAAGTTTCCCTCTTTTCCCTCCCCGTGGATCCGCGCCAGGTGACTATGTGCCCGTGAACAAGGTTTATTGCATCAAACAATGTTTATACGAGCCTTCGATATTATTCATTATCTGTTTTTTTTATAATTTGTATTCCCCTAGGACGAATGCGGTCGCAGTATATTCAAAGAGAGAAGATAGGTATTACATTGTACATGATCCAGCGAAGCAGCCAAATGCCACTCGGGTCCGTTATCAACACCGAGCGAGAGGGAATTTTAAGTGGACAGAGAGGGCTTTATAACAATTATACAATTCAGGATACTTTGAAAGATTATTTTAAATATGAGCTCCCAATATAAATATAGTTTCTTTAAGAAACCATGATACTCCATCATTAAACTATCTTCAAAATGTAGAGTATTGCTGAACGAAAAAACTGCTAATTTTCGACAGAAAATTCTTATTACAGGGCCCTGCTAAAGTAAAAATGGACAAATCCAGTTGCTGAATTTAGAAACAAAAATCCTCTAACACGCTATGTAGCCAGAATCCGTGTTTTATGGGTCCTTGATACCGAAAAATCGAAGGTCGGCAAAACTGTGGGTGTGTCTGTCCGTCTGTGAACAAAGCTAGATTCTAAACCGTTCAGCAGATTTTCTCCAAAATTGATATTTCTATGTCGATCTAGATGTCGAAGCCCCTTTAATTTGAAACTGAAATTTTAATTTTAATTTTAGGGCTACTTACACGAGTCCCCTGTGACATTTTCAAAATTTTCCAAAAAAATAGCTCCGTTTTTTTATTAAATTTTGTTGTCGGAGAGTGTGAAGGACATTTAAAAGAATGGTAAGAGGGCAAGTCACATTTTCGTTGAAAACTCTTGATTTTTGGAAAATTGTAAAAATTCCAAATTTTACCGACCTACAACTACAATTACAAGAGAGATATTTTTCCCTTAATTCAAGCTGTTCCTTGAACATAGATTTGGAAAAAGATCATGTGCAATATTTCGAAAATTTTAGTACTTGGTGCGTAATTTTGCGTGAAAGTAGGTGCTGTTTTAACATCACTACTTTTACAGTTTTAGTCGTTAAATAAATTTAAAGAACGGTTTCAACCGCCAAATTTGTGATCGCTGTAACAGTCTCTTGTCCTTCTTGTCGCTATTTTAGTCATGTGACCGAAGACCTCCCTTGATTGTCTGCGCACAAGACGAAGACCTCTCTTAGCGTATTTATAATACCCTCTAATCTTTGTATCATGGCTTTAACGAACGCCCTGCCCTTCTAAACGATCTCCTTGCCCCCGACGGTGTCGCGTTCTTTCGCGCACTTACTCGACGTCCACAGCCTCCGGGACGTCCTTTAAGTCTTTGAAGTCCTTGAGGTCCTTGAGGTCCTTGCTCTCTTTCTTCACGATGATGGACTTGCGTCGCGTCTCGTGATCAAAGCCTCCACTCGCCTCCTCCGAGTCCGCCACCGCCACCAGTTGCGAGGGCTTCCGCTCGCGGTCCTTTTGCTGCGACACAAATGGGAGTGTATTAACTCTTAACCACTGGTGTGAGATCTACAACACACTGGCGTCAGGTCATATGGACCCGACCATACTGATTCAAGAAAATGTCCTTTGTTGGGGAGGTTAATGGTTTAATAAAAAACAATGTAAAAACACGTGTAACATTGAAAATCATCAATTTACATAAAAAAAGTACAGTTAATTGACTCATTTTTCTGTTGCTTAAACTGTAATAACTACACAGCTGATCACAAGTGTCCATTCCAAACTTTTGTACAATTTCGTAAAGAGTTACAATTTGTAAGAGCAGAGGGCCCGTATGTTCGTCAATTTTCTTGGCTTTGTGAATAGTGGAAATAGATCGTGATATGGCTGGTACACAAGGTCATCGACACCTCTTTGTAAATCCAAAAGAGGCTTGAGTTTACCTCTCTATTTCTTGGCAAGAATTTTGTAAGTGTGTCCGGGATGATATTACGTAATGTTTCAAAAATGACCAACTCTCCTTTGACCCGAAAAGCAGTATTCATCTCTAACCTAAAACGAGTGGTGAAGTGTTAGGAGTTATCGCTAAGGCACCACCCTTGCAAACCGGAGGCACAGGGGAGGCACAGGAACACCAAATCTATGGCGACAGATCAGAAAGGGCAACTCAGAGAAACAAATATGTCATCACAACACGCTCTGAATAGGGACGTTATCAGAAGATATTACATGGCATCATGTAAGATGATGAACTGAAGAACAAGCATCATCGGTAGCTCGCAATGCTCGCAGAAAATAAAAGGAAAAAAAGCTTCGGGTCACATTGACCCGACGCCAGTAGTTAAAGGTTAAGGCAGAGGTTCTCAAATGAGCCCCAAGTGGGACGCAATGCCTGTAGAAGGGGAGCAAGAGAAATTTGGAAAACTCGATATGGTTTTTATTAGTACAACCGTAAATAAATTTAATTTTAAAGATTTTATTTCTAAATTTATTGAATTAAAGACATTAAGACTTGCATTGTCAAACATCTGACCCCGTTTTATAAAGCTTTGTGAAGACTATTATATATATATATATATATATATATATATATATATATATATATATATATATATATATATATATATATATAAATGTTACCCAACAATCATACTCTGTTATATATTGTTTTTATTTCATTTTAACGTTGATTTGGTCTACATGGCACACGAGTACAGCGAGTGATCATTTAACGAACACTTTGGATCGTGAATAAATACCTTCGCGAAATGTTTTTGTTATGATCGAATAAAGAAATTTCGGAAAACATACGAGAAGCAATGCTGTAGACGAGAATAAATAGATATATTCCGGTCACAACAACTGCTAAGCCCATTAATCCCGTTAATATAGTGAGTGTTTATCCCGAGTGGTGGCGGTGTTCCTTCTAAGCTGTATGGCGCCGACCTACACGTCAAATTGGTAGATTTCCCCTTCCAGGAATCTGCCTCAGCTTCACTGTCCCAGTCGAGACAAGCTCTAAGCTTCCGAGGGGTCTCACAGCATTTGGATAGTGTAGTACATGAAAGTGTAAGAGGTGAGGAAAGGGCAGGGAAGAGGACGGAAAGATCGCGCGCGGTCCGGTTGTTAGAGCACTGCTCTGGAATTCGCTTGGTATTGATCTGAGAAACCGCAGAAAATTTCCACGAGACCAGCCGAGCGCTAGAATTCTCGTTGCGAACGTGTTAATTCAGTCTGCGACTGAATTCGACCTAGCTGTATAGCTAGTTTTGAAAATCCACCACTGTCGGGACTCGAACACCAGAATTTAATCATTAGAGTCACTGAAGAGGCAACGGTAATGTTGGCTCAGAGATATGTCTGACAGTTAAACTTCAAAAATTGAAGTTTGTATGATAATAATTAGAAGGAAACGCAGCAGAAACGGTATTACATGTGATAGAAGGTTGATAGTTTGCTACTGATACATTGCGTAAAGGGCTATCAATAAAAAGTGTAAGGCTAATTCTCTGTTTGAAATAAATTGTGAATAAAGTAATTTAAACATGATTTAAATACAATAATAAATAACTCACTTCAGAGCGAGGCAGATAGTTCTGAAACAAAATAGCAATTTAACACCACGATTTGCCTCCCGTTTTTGTCTTCCCTGCTAACGTTCTTCCCGCATTAACATTTTTTAAAAAATTAGGCAAAAAATTATTAACTAGTTAGAATACAAAATCTGAATTTGTAATAATTACTTACTGCTTTCAATTCATCAATTACAGCTTGTACTATTGGTACCATCATTGCTGTAGTGGCCGTATTTGATATCCACATAGAGAGAATGCAAGTGGTGCACATGAAACCCAGCATCAACCTAGAAATTAAGATATATTTATAAAAACGCGAATGGAAAATTGACAAGATATTTTATTCTAAATAATTTTTGTATACTCGTAATGAATATCAACTAAGTATGTAACTAGGCAAAAAATAACTCTTTGATAAAATGATCCCTACCTTCTAGGGCTGGTTCCCACAGTTAAAATCGTCCGCAACGCTATTCGTTTGTGCAAGTTGCAGTTTTCAACTGCTATCGCAACAATTAAGCCACCTGAAAAATATTGTTTGTTGAAAGAAGGATCATTTCACCAAGACACTAAACAATATTGGCAGAGTCTTACATTCACTATTCGTGTAAAACTTTGACAACACAAACCTTGAGATGTTTTATATAAAGATGTACATGGCAGAAAAAGTTTCGATGAAATGGAAGATACTTTTAATGCAGCGTCAAGTTACAGTGAAGTTCTTAAAAAAAACTCTCAGAACATAAATGTTTCTTTATACGAAGGTCTTTAGAGGCAACAGTCAACAATTCAATTGTATTTTTCTAATGCCAAGAAACTTCGTGGGACAAAAACTATTTCCACACTATAGCAAAACTAGATATTATTATTACTATAAAAGAAAACTTGTGTTGAATGTTTGACGAATGAGAGCTGAATCAGTTACGTGACTAATTTTGTATCGTTGTTACCACAATTTGACTAAAATTCAAGCGACGGGTGTTTGGTACGACATTTGTGTGCATGAGCAATTGAGTGTTCGAGACTAATGGAAACGAATGATTTTTCAGGATTTTACTTTATTTATTTAAAGTAAGAATCGTAAAATCTGTATGTGTCGTGCGGGAAGGAGTTAGAATGTGAATAAAGGTTCCAACACATCTGGCTGGGTAGGCTTTGAAATCTAGAAATTTTCGATGAATAGAAAACACATTTGCATGGTAATCAAATTACATATTTGATTTTACACCATTACTGACAAAATAACAATCGTTTGCTCTACTCTTCCTGCGATTAGGAAAAGCTTAACTAGTTCAACCAAACGTGAGCATAGTGAAGCTACGTGAAGATTCGTAAAGATACTTGGGTATGTGTTCTATTTATATCAATGTTTAGTGTTAATTTGTATTCCTGTTTATTTATATAAATTCATATTCTAATTATATTTGTTTAATTATTTTCATCTTTGTAGAAGACGGGATAAATTGGCCCCGGAACACGTGAATGGTCATTCATTCTTTATGTTAAATATATATTGTAAAACACTTTGTGGTTGATACCACCTCGATTCTTAATTAATAATCATAGTGAAACTACATTTATGATATCTAGAAGCAAATCAAGGGACCATATTAACATTCTCTAAACGGATCAAGGAGTACTGAATGAAGATCCTAGTAGAGATGGAAGTCACTGTATTGTTCCTCAACTTCTGCGACAGACATATATAGTCTTTTCATAAGAATTCTGTAGTACAATGTTAACTAACGCATTTATATAATAAAAAAATAATATCGCGTTCCTTGCAAGATCCTTTTACGAAGAACGAGCAACGTAAGGGCGTACCTATGAACATCATGTTGGTCTCCTTGAGGTAGTTGATGCACACCTGCTCGGTGCCCAGCACCCCCAGCAACGGGAACAGCACGACGGGCAGCAGCGAAGTGACAGGCAGCGGCACAGCCTCCGTCATCCAGAAGGCAGACATCACCAGCACGACGAAACCGCATCGCGCCTCCTGCAGCACACAACACACACATTGATTGATTAGTTTCAGATCAATTTCTGATAAAAATGGTGGTAGCTTCAAGTAAAATTTCGATTGATGCACTAGCATGTAAATAAGTTTCTTCAATGACCATCACAATTTGTATGTGCCAGAAACGTCCATATGCGAGTAATGCGACGCTCCAAGAAGTTATGTGGAGGTTAAGCGATAAATTGCTCAATTGGCCGACTTCGAGGAGGTTAGCAGACGCATTGCGTGTTGGTCACCGGTACTGCTATATCCATATTACGTTTATATCGTCGATGCACAAAAGCGATAACTAAAAATTAGTCATTTCAAAAATGAATATTTATGTAATTTTGGTAAACAATGCATCATTTTCTAATGTTTCACTGGAAACCCGAAATTACCGCATTCATTTACCTCCGTGGACCACGAATATCTTCATACTTTTCACTAATTTCACTAAGTTTTGGTACTGAAAGAAAAATTTGAATAAGTCCACAAAATTTTAATTCCGGACTTACAAGAAAATGTAGAAAAAAAAGCTTGCGATGAGTTTCGTCAATTGCTGAGGCCATTTGTCCCATACGTGTAGGGCAAGTTTTATCGCTGAAGGTGGCGATGAACTTTGTCAGCTAGATGGCTTGGTAGGGTGTCGACCTGTACGTCAGCATGCGGGGTTTCCCCAACTAGGTATCTCCATCCAGCAGGGTGCCGCCCCAACCGAGACAATCTCTAAACTCCAGATCGGTCTCCCAACATGTGTGGTAGTGTAGTGCATGCAAGTGTAACAGCAAACACAAAATGAAATTGGGCTTATACACAAAGCACACGCGTTTGATCTCTGCTGACCGGGAGACGGTAAAATTTGAATACATAATTCCAGTTATGGGATAAATTAGAAGACTACCTCTGCACCTACAAGGCTGAGAAAGGTATCATTCGATTTACTATTAAGAGATGATCCAGAAAAGTAGGGAATTCATGATGTGTCTCAATATTGCAAGTTTCATGTGTAATACGAAATAATTTCTGTTGGACAAATGAGCATTTCTTTATGGAATGACAACTATATATAATTATACTAACACTAACAATAACTAGTGGTTCGGGGCAGACAAACGGCAAAATAAAATCTAGTATAAAACTAAACATTTGTGAGATGTATGGGATGTATTTGCGATACGCCACCCGCTGTACATTCATTAAAGATTTGGGAGTGCTTCTGCGCGCACACGCGCGCACACGCGCGCACACGCGCGCACACGCGCGCACACGCGCGCACACGCGCGCCACAACGCCGCACACGCGCGCACACGCCGCGCAACACGCGCCACACGCGCGCACCACGCGCGCACACGCCGCACACGCGCGCACACGCGCGCACACGCGCGCACACTCGCGCCACACGCGCGCACACGCGCGCACACGCGCGCACACTGCGCGCACACCGCGCACACGCGCGCACCACGCGCGCACACGCGCCACACGCGCGCACACGCGCGCACACGCGCGCACACCCGCGCACACCGCGCACACGCGCGCCACACCGCGCACACGGCGCGCACACGCGGCACAACGCGCCACACCGCGCGCACACCGCGCACACGCGCGCACACGCGCGCACACGCCGCGCCACACGCGCGCACACCGCGCGCACACACGCGCGCACACGCGCGCACACCAGCGCACACGCGCCACACCGCGCGCACACGCGCGCAACACGCGCGCACACGCGCGCCACATCGCCGCACACGCCGCACACACGCGCGCAACACGCCGCACACGCGCGCACACGCGCGCACACGCGCGCACAACGCGCGCACACCCGCGCACACGCGCGACACGCCGCGCACACGCGCGCACACGCGGCACACGCGCGCACACGCGCGCACACGCGCGCACACCGCGCCAACACGGCGCCGCACCACGCGGCGCACACGCGCGCACACGCCGCACACGCCGCACACGCGCGCACACGCGCGCACACGCGCGCGCACGCGCGCACACCCGCACACGCCACACCCCACACGCGCACACGCGCACCGCGCACACGCGCACACGCGCACCACGCCACACGCGCACACGCGCACACGCGCACACGCGCACACGCGCACACGCGCACACGCGCACACGCGCACACGCGCACACGCGCACACGCGCACACGCGCACACCCGCACACCCGCACACGCGCACACGCGCACACCCGCACACCCGCACACCCGCACACCCGCACACCCGCACACCCGCACACCCGCGCACCACGCACCACACACACACACACACACACACACTAATGCACGCACTAATGCACGCACCCAAAAGCACAGCATTGGTGATACCACCCTAATGTGGGGGTAGCTGTAATTCGAGAAGGCGTCTGAGAGGTAGAGCCAGGTAGAGCATTGCTACCCATGCTTGTAATGGAGGGGTGGCCGCCAGACTTCACCGATTTCTCTTTAGAAAAATCATTTCAGACGCACCTATCCATTTAACATTTTGACAGACGCTTCCCAACTAAAGAAGACAATCTCAAAAATAAGAAAAATATCATATTCAAGAAAAGTATATAGCTATTAAATACAAGGCCGTCGTACGTATAAAAAGTAGTAGTGTGTGGTAAGAAAGTATTGTTACGAAACTTTAAGGTTTTAATTTTTTATCTTAAGCCTACTGCGTGTTAGTTGAATTAATTCGTAATATTTTCGTCAAAAAGATTTTAGATTTTGTACCAATTTCCCTTGAATATTACAAATAAATTCCTGGACATTTGATTTTTCCTACGTCATCACCTTAACAAACTAAGGTTTGAGTATAATGAAAATGTGAAAGGCTGTGTTCGACCGAAATTAACCGTTATCAATCAATTTATGCAACATTGAAAACAATTGGAAAAACGTGCTTCCCGCGTTGGGACGGTAGGGAGGGGGGGGAGGGTTACAAGAAAAAGTATAATTATAACGTTTGTTTAGCAAATTCTTTTGTTTTGTTTTGTTTTAACGACTGTCCATTTCAGGGTACGAGAATACTTCCTGAAACTTTTCTTTATGAGTTGCGTCACGCCAGGCAGAGTGTCATGAAGTGCCAGTTGCTCGTACAAGAAATACGTTTCCTTATTGCCAACACTTTAATTCGCGACAATAAACATCCAGGTGGAACAAGCACGCATTATTTTCCGTCTTTATTTACCACTTAAAGCCGGAGGTAGACTTACTCCTAAAATCCAGCGCCTCCGACGACCTTCGGCCACCAAAAATGGGCCACGGTCAGCGCGACCGCTGTCTCTACAATTCAATGCAAACGAACAGATCGTAAACACCCATACGTTTCCTGTTTTGCAACTGAGTGTTAGCCATTCATTCTCCGACTAATCATGAGATTTCTTGACGTTAAGTTTACACTGGTGTTGGCGTGCAATCTTCACTTATTGAATTGTAAATCTCTCCTCGACTACCTCTCTCATGACTTCCGGAATGTATTGTGTGCGTGATGGCTGGGTTTCCTGTATCGTACCAGGACGGGCGGACGTCTATTGGGGAGATGGGACACGCCCTCCCACCAATATTTTTAAATATATACATAAGATCCATCATAATTTATTTATATTTACGCTCTTTACTGTAAAAAAACAAAACACAATAATCGGATAAAAATGGTGGTAGCTTCAAGTAAAATTTCGATTGACGCATTAGCATGTAAATAAGTTTCTTCAATGACCATCACAATTTGTATGTGTCAGAAACGTCCATATGCGAGTAATGCGACGCTCCAAGAAGTTATGTGGAGGCAAAGTGATAAATTGCTCAATTGGCCGACTTCGAGGAGGTTAGCAGACGCATTGCGTGTTGGTCACCGGTACTGCTATATCCATATTACGTTTATATCGTCGATGCACAAAAGCGATAACTAAAAATTAGTCATTTCAAAAATGAATATTTATGTAATTTTGGTAAACAATGCATCATTTTCTAATGTTTCACTGGAAACCCGAAATTACCGCATTCATTTACCTCCGTGGACCACGAATATCTTCATACTTTTCACTAATTTCACTAAGTTTTGGTACTGAAAGAAAAATTTGAATAAGTCCACAAAATTTTAATTACGAACTTACATGAAAATGTTGAAAAAATACATCGTTTCAGTTTTGTATAACTTTTAACACTGAGCAGAAGATTGAGAAGCAGAATGAAATTGTGCGATAACCAAACGTTCACAATTTAGAAAAACAATAAAACACAATGAAGTAATCTGCATTTTAAAAGAGCGAGAGAGCGCTGAGAATACTCTTTCTAGGTGGGGAGAGAACAACGGACATATTTCTTGACCAGTAATCTCAATTTACGAGAGATTGTGGTCGCAAACGTGAAATGCTGCTGTGACTATTTGCCGGACATTGATATAAATGCCATCATGGGAACTCAGAGATAAAAATATGTACTCTTCGATAAGCCTTTCAAAAACTAAATTCAGAAAGACGATACTATTACTTTTAAAATTGGTTTATTAATTTATTAAAGTAATTTTAAAATGGTAATTTCATTTTGTTTGTGTTTTATAAATTAGAACATAAGTATAAAGGAATATACCAGAAATTATCAAAATATTTGTTATACATTCTAAAGATTTTCATTATACATTTAATAAAACATGTTCAACATACGTACACATGTTTTGTACTACATTTTTTTTTTTTTTTTTTTCAGACGAATTGTAACTTATGATTCGCGGGCTTGAAATTGCGATATCAGCACGTCTGGTTTCCGACGTAAAGGAAACCTCTTTTTCCGGAGTAAGAGGGCGTATGCTGAAAGCTTCTTTCAATTGTACGTAACATGCGACAGACATCGATTCATATCTCAAGGCCACAGCTGAGAAGTCTTCCCGTCAGTCGATAAGATAAAGAACGAAGCGCGAAGAATGCAACACGCTAAGCACGGAGGGATAATCG